AAGCTTGAAGAACAAGACGGAATAGATTTGAGAAGAAAATTTTAAATATGAATAAAAGGCAGTCAAAATAAGGAAATGTTTGTGCAACTACAAGTACCAATTCATGAAACAGTAAATCATAAGAGCCCAATATTATTTTGTTACCTTCAAAGTTCTAAGAGTAACACTAGGTGAATAATTTTGGACGTTTGTCACGCAATTAGATGTGTGACAGACTTAACAAAAGACTTTTATGGTAAGTACACAAATATTGATATCCATCACAAAAATTGTATGTGACGGGTTGAGCAAATGATTTTTTTTTGTAGTAAATGGTCAACTCTCAATGTTGACCATATTTACCATATATTGGTAGGCTAAGCTCAAGGTAGATTAGACTCAAAGTAAGCTTAGGCTCAATGTTTTATAGGGAGTGAGTAATTTTGAATTTTCACTTTAAAAAAATTCGTGCCCCAGTATGAAAATTTTGTGGTTTGCTAGTTACCACATGAAAAGAAATAGGCAGGTCAAGATAAAGTTGTTTTGAGTCAGAGATTTAGCCCGACAACAAACCTTGGAGGAAAAATCTGGTAAAAGAGGGAAGTAAAGTAGTTGAGAATTGATAAACTTTCTACTTTATTGAGAACATCGAAGGCATTCATTTCTTTTTCTTTTTCATAATTTTTTTTATTTTCACAATTTTTTCACTTTCGTTTTTTCAAATGTTTTCACTTTTTTTTCATTTTTTTAACCTTTTTTTTTTGTTTCCTCCAGGTGACTTACTATGGTTGGTTTATGATTCTTGCTAAAGTCTCAACTAACAAGAATGATAAGAGTAGACCATATTAAAATTATTATTGAAATTCTCAAAACATGTAATTTCCCTTTTTTATCGAGAGAATTTTCAAAGAAAACACTTTTTTTCAACCAATGATATGATATTAGTGATGAATGAATGAATTTATGACTTTGAGATTTTTTTTTTTTTAAGAAAAATAGCTCAATTTCCACGTACTCACATTCTTTTTTTCAAGTACTTAGTTAAATCATGGATGAATAAAACTTCGTTGTCGTTTTAACATTAGCAAGCTATGAGTCGTTCGCTATCTTTCAATCTTAGCAATCTCAAATATGACTTCAAAGAAGAAATAGACTTTATTCATAATGGAAAAATATTAGATCCATATAGATTTCCATAGTCTTGTGAACTCATGATTTTAGAACTTCATGTGTGGACCATATTCCTTTGAAAACCTAAATCATCCTGCCTTCATTAGAACTTGCACTTTATGCTTCAGTGAAGTACAGTTCTCAGTTGAATGACCTACAGCTCAAGCATGGTAATCACAGCGGACTTGTGGGTCGTACCACTTTGGATAAGGCGGTTGCAATGGTTCTACGGGTACCAGAGCTAATAAATTACTTTGAAATAATTAGGATAACAACTCGATATAGGATATTACATTCGGATGACTTCCATTTTTCTTTCTTTATACCTTTTCAAGGTCTACAATTGGAAGATCTCTCGCTTTAGTTGTCTCCGACTACTATGATTATCTGATAATGTTGGCGATCTTACTTGTGGGTCATACTGCAGAACCAGCAAGCTTATGGATACCGTAGAAGGATTGTATGCCACGAATCATTGTTGGTGCTTCCACTTGCGCTTCGAAATTACTACCTGTACTTTATATGTCTTCTTAGTAGAGCCACTATTCTTTTTAGGGACTGATTGAACCTTCAGCTCTTTATCAATTGAAAGCACTGGCACTTGTTCGACATATTCTTTCCCTGTACTTTTTTTTTCCATTCTCTACTGAGCGTGGCTCATACCGATGTCATGCTTGTATTGATTTAGAAAATAAATTTTCCTGGTTTCTTCAGCATTTCCATTGGTAACATTATCTTTTCTTTTCCCTTTTAAATTATTTGAGTAATTGGCCTTGGATGTTTGTCCATCTTAGAATGTAAATTCAGTCTGACATATTATTGAAGCTTGTTGACCTTTCTTGGAATGCTGAGTATCATGTGACGAATTATGTTGGGGAAGCCCTTTGTTGGTTGACAAAGAGGTAGGTCAATCCTAGATGATGAATTATTATGAGACTCGACTAAATTATTAGGTTGAGAAATGCCTCTAACTGTAACAATATTCTTTAAGACGTTGAAAATTTTCGTGATTACTTGAATCTTTTTATCGATGTCTTGTTTCATCTTCTTTAGCTCAACATTATGCACCATAACCTGTTCTTGAATCTCGTCTCCTATTTTTCTTTGGCTCAACATTCAATTCTTCCATGACCTGTTCGTGTATTTCGTCTCTAATTTTCTTTAGCTCTGCATTAAGTTCTTCTATGATATGCTGCTTTATGTACCTTGTATATAAAGAATGGTAAATATGTGGTTGTTGAGCTATTTTATCTAAGAGTTCGTGTTAATGATGTAATGGAGAATGCACAGGTTTTGATTTTTTTAAGATAGAATTTGATATGTATGTGACAATGTGATGCAAATGTTGGATCACAAATTATGAGAATTTTAAATAATTATGAACATGTGAAAAATGATGCATGCATAAGATGATATAGAGTTTTTTTTAGTGTTGCATGAGAACGATGGACATGTAAAATGATAAATACAAGATATATTCTTTTAATTTATGATATGGACACATGTGACATTGATGCATGAGAAAGACAGAGTTTTTTTTTTGTTTGTTTAATTTCCCTTACGGGAAGGAAAAAAAACTTATTTAAAAATGCTACAAAACACCTTAATGATATGATACATATTTCATGCAATTATTTTTTTCGAAACAATATTTCATACAATTATTAGTGCATGCAAATGCAATGCTAGACTCTAACTCACCCTAAAATAGAGACATGAATATGTATGACATTTAATTCTAGAGTTAAGGCTTAACTCCTAAGTTTTGATCGAAAATGAATGAATTTGAAAGTCTTTGGCGTGCCTAGGGACATTTATAATCCTTTGAAAGATAACACTTATAAATTCATTTAAAAGTAGACTAAATATGTGACTCAAAAAAGTAAAATAAATGTGATGTAGATGCATGTTGAAAACGAGTAATAATTAAATAAAATAACTAGGAAGAAATAAGGTAAATGATTTTTTTTAATTAAAAAGTGGTTCATTTAAAACCTTATGGTTAAAACTCCAAATTGACCATAATTTTTTATTTTTTAAAATAAACAATATGACATAACAATACAACAAAAATAAAATGTAATATGAATATGAGTGGGAAGTTATGTACTAATGCATCCTAGAAGATAACGGCCCCCAAATGTTTCATATGATTTGGCAGTATGGTCGACTTAAGTGGAGAATTTCATGCGCCTGCACGGGAATCGAAATTCCACGAAGGTCACACTACTCAGTCTCTGATTTAATCTTAAGGGTAAAGTCCGGGTAGGAGGCTTGTGAATTTGTGCGAAATACATGATAATGCAAACTTACAAAAGCAAATAATTAAAACACAAAATGTGCAATAAAAAAGGAATGGCCAAAAATATTTTATAACGGATAGTAAATGACAAAAATAAATGGTTTGATTCTCATAGTCCCCTGTGGAGTCTCGTGCAACATCATCGCGATGCGAAGCGGCTAACATCATCCTCTGAAGGGTCTCTTTCGAGATAAGGGTTTGGAGTCGCCATCAATCATCTAAGAGGTGTGATTGGTTGCCTATTTAAAAAAAAAAAACTTGGTCTGCGAAAACAGATTTTTGATTCGGGAGTCGACTGAGCGTAGGGAAGGTGTTAGCACCCTACGACACCCGTTCGAAAACGGTACTACATTTTGTCAAAAAATCCTATTATTTTATTGGTCCAGAAGAAAATATTTTATGTTTTTATTTAAATGTCTCATACTCTATTACTTCATATTTATTATAAAATATGAACTAATAATTATGAGTGGCAGGAAGGCTATTAGAAAAAAAATTTTATTATGATTTTTCCTAAACAACTTATATTTGCAAAATCATTTACTTTGTTTTCCAAAAATTTATTTAAACCTTATTAGAAGGTTTCCTCTTTTTTTAAAAAAAAAACTTGGTTTATTTTACTTTAAAAAAGAAATACATTTTATTTTATTTATTAAAAGAAACTTACTTTTCTTTAAAAAAAACCTTCAAAACGTAACCCACCTTTACTCACCGATCGTCAGAAGGATGGAGGTCGTAGAGTTTGTACAGGGTTACTCAGAAAACGAACCGTCGAGTCCTGTCATTGCTGGAAGTCGTCGTCTAGTCCGACCACCGTCTGGGCTCGTGATAAGGTAAGATAGAGAGGAGAAGACAAATGATGGTGGTAGAGTTGTGGAGAGATGGATTTTCTTTCCCTTTGGCCTTTCACGATTGTTTTTTTTTTTATTTGGTTATTAAAAGGGAATAGATTCCCAACCAAAATGATAGTAGGAAAAAAAGTTTTGTTTTAATGGTTTGATAAAAAATGAAAACTCGGATGGAGATTGATGGAATAAAAAAAAAAGTAATAAAAAAAAAGAACAAAAGAAAGAGACACAATGGAGGAAGCTTTCCCAGTAAAGTATGGAAAAAAAAAGGGTTTTGACCTATGGAGCTGGATGAGAAAGAACTAATAAGCTACCTATGTAACACTTTGACTAAGAAATTTTCAAAATTGCAAACATTTAATTAATCAACTTTTAACACACTTAAAAATAAATAAAACTCACTTGAAAATAAATAAAAAAAAACTTCCAATTTAAAGAAATGCTTATTTTTTTCAAAAAAAAACAAAAATCAATTTATTTTTATGTGATGCTTCCGTTATTTTTCTTTGTTTTCTCTAAAAACAATAATTTAAAAATAAAAAATAAAAACTAAAATCAGACTTTTTTTAATAAAAATAAATAAAATAAAATTTTAGTCGGAGCAGATACGAGGTCTAAAAAGGTATTTTTCTTATTCCTCTTCCCTCCCCACCAGACAACCTTATTTCATTTTAGTTGTAAATGCTCTTCATATTTCTCACATGATTGCCTCCCCTACACCATCCTCTCTCTCTCTACTTTTGATCTCTCTCTTTACCATTCTCTCTCCCCATCTGAAATTTAGACTCTTCAGATCTCAAAACCCACCATGTCCATGGCTACACCTTCTCTTCTACATCATTCCACCACTCCCATTTTCACAAAACTCACTCCATTTTCTTATTCCTCTCCCCTCCCCAACAACATTTCCCCTTTTCCCACAAAACCCACTTCATATAATTACTCAAAAAGTTTCCTTCCAACAACCTTAAAATCCCCATCATCATCTTCTTCTTCTTCACCTTCTCCAACAACTGTGGAGGATTTCGAAGCTCAAGAAGAGGAAATGGAGGAGGAAAATGATAGAAATCTTCCTCCACTCAGTGAAATCTGGAAACAAATTCAAGGTTTCAACGACTGGGAAGGCCTTCTTGACCCTTTGAATCTTCACCTTCGTAGAGAAATCATTCGTTATGGTGAATTCTCTCAAGCCTGCTACGATTCCTTCGATTTTGACCCTCATTCTAAGTACTGTGGCACTTGCAAATACCAAGCTTCCCAATTCTTTCACAAGCTTCTAATGGCTGATCGTGGATATCAAATCACCAGATATCTCTATGCAACTTCCAACATCAATCTCCCCAACTTCTTTAAGAAATCCAACATCATCACCCGGTCCGAACCCAGAAATTTTTCTCAGAACAGGTCAAATTTTACCTTGTAACTTTTTGTACACACTCGTTAAACCATAAGTTGGATTTCGACATTTTCGAGTTGTCTAATAGGACAAATTTTAGAAAGATATGGAGTAGATCTCTAGACTTTCAATTATGTTTAATCGTTAAAAAGTATGTAATAGGTTGTTTAAATTTCAAACTTGTCAGTAATGGAAGAGGGATTTGTTAGATATAAAATAGAAAGTATAAAGATTTATCAGACATTTTTTGAAATTCAGACAGCCATGGGATGAATTAACTTTATAGTTTAACCTATAATTTTTCAGATTTAAAAAGATAGGATGGGAAGTAAATTTTCTTAACGTTCTCATTTCTTCTTTGTTTCGCCTTCAGGAGCAGAGTTTGGAGTCAACATGCTAATTGGATGGGCTATGTTGCGGTTGCCACGGATGCTGATGAGATCAAACGACTCGGCCGCCGTGACATTGTCATTGCTTGGAGAGGAACGGTAACGTACCTCGAATGGATCCATGACCTCAAAGATATTCTCCAACCAGCTGGGTTTAATCCGAAGGACATGTCAGTTAAGATCGAATCTGGCTTCTACGATTTGTACACCATGAAAGAGAAGAACTGCGACTACTGTGGATTCTCAGCTCGTGAACAGATTTTGGCTGAAGTGAAACGACTTGTCGAGCAGTACTGCAAATTGGGAGGAGAACAAATCAGTATCACAGTCACTGGACATAGTCTTGGAGCTGCTTTGGCTTTGACTACTGCGTACGACATTGCTGAGATGAAGCTGAACATTGTCGACAGCGAAGGTGGGCACCTCACGGCGGTCCCGGTCACCGTCTACTCGTTTGCCGGTCCTCGGGTTGGGAATCTCAAGTTTAAGGAACGATGCGAGGAGCTCGGGGTTAAGGTGCTGAGAGTGACCAATGTACATGACAAGGTTGCTACTAAACTCAAATGCTCAAGTTGATAATTTACGTAAATTTATTTTATTCATACTGTAAATTCACTTACCTCAATTTTTCATTAATGTTGTCTACTCAAAGATAATTTAATGGTTAAGGTACAATTAACTATTCCTGACTCGAAATTCACACTTCTACAATTATTGTAATAATGCATGCTTAAGGGAAAAAAAAGTACGATTCTCAATCGTATTCTCAAACCTTTAAACCAAATATATCATTGTGAAATTACTATTAAATCCTAAAGTTTGAGACGCCACGAAGTTCGAACACAAACTCACATACTCTAATACTAATTAACATTACTAATTCTAGAAGTTTAAGCTGTGAAGGTTATAGTAATTTATATATATATATATATTTTTGTTCATATTCTTTAACAGGTTCCAATGGTGCCTGGCATTATAGCCAACGAGAAGTTACAATTTCAAAAGTACTTGGAGGAAGCCGTGGCATTTCCTTGGAGCTATGCTCATGTTGGTACAGAACTTGCATTAGACCACACTCACAGTCCATTTCTAATGCCAACAAACGATCTCGGATGCGCACATAATCTCGAAGCTCACCTACACTTGGTCGACGGATATCATGGCGAGGGACGGCGGTTTCGACTAGTGACAAAGAGAGACATAGCCCTTGTGAACAAGAGCTGTGATTTTTTGAGGAGGGAGTACGGCGTGCCACCATGTTGGCGGCAGGAGGAGAACAAAGGAATGGTCAGAAACAGCGAGGGGCGGTGGGTGGTACCGGACCGGTCGAGGCTGGAGGCCCACCCGCCGGACACCGCCCACCACCTTCAGCAAGTACTCAAAGTTTCAGCTGGTACTTAGGTTTATTATCATGGAGAGAGTAGGGTTGAATAATTTCTCTAAATAATGTCATTGTTATGAAAAGTGGCATTATGTGATGTCAATTAATGTAAATTACTATGTGAATTGAACTTTCCTAAATGGTATTATTGTCTAGGTACGGTTTCCCTTTTTGTTTCGTGGGAATTCACGATCTCTTAATCGGACATATGTGTCTAAATCAGACTCAAGTTAGCATGTACCATCTTGCTTTTGAATCAAGGAACTCACGACTTCTTGATCGGATATATGAGTCTAAATCAGGCTTAGATTAGCATGTACCCTTTGCTTTTGAATTGTTTTTGAGATATTTTGTTTCCATATATTTAACGGCGTATACAAATTCTTAATTAGTTTTGAGATCAAATTTATCTAATAATTAAAATAAAATTATTATTTAATTAAACATGGTCTAGGTAATATTTTTATAGTTAAATTACAAAACATCAAATCTCTCAAACGAAATATATCCAAGTCTATTGTGTCAAATTTGAACTTATACTTTATTTTAATTTAAAAAAATAAATTACAAGCAGTAATAGAAGTCTGGTGTGTGTATGTATGTAATTAGCTTGCACGTACCTAGATTATTCTCACAAGACAACTGCCTGAACGTACTATAGTTAAATAGGTAATATTTTTTTTATATTGGAGTTGATGCTTCAAAACATCAAGTCTCCCAAACGAAATATATCCAAGTCTATTGTGTCAAATTTGAACTCACACTTTATTTTAATTTAAAAAAATAAATTACAAGCAGTACGTAGAAGTTTGGTGCGTGTATGTATGTAATTAGCTTGCGCGTACCTAGATTATTCTCACGAGACAACTGCCTGAACGTACTATATTTTCCTAGATAAGTGGTCATGATGAGATTTGAACACATTCTCCCTATAAATTCTTTTGATTTATCTTGATCCGTTCCGACCAATAAAACCAACCCATGATAAAACCAACCATGATGATTCTAGAAGCATGTATAGGCATTAACTGTGTTGGACACTATGCTTTGATTAGGAGTTTGAAGAAAATTCATTCTGGATCCCCTTAAAAGTGACCATTTTGTGCACATTTTGTACTCTCCGTTGTTTGATTTGATGTGTAATGGAATTGGCATTACTAGGTTTAGGTTGTTAGGTTGTTCTCCAATAAGAGAACAGCATATAGTTTTATAACACTTTTCAACTATGTTTTTCCACTATATATTATATCCACATGGTGTGTTGTTGCCAATTGGAATAATAAGTCTTGTGTGAATTTTGTATCATAGAGAAAGGTTATAATTATAATATGTTCCTCCTATACTATGGATTTGTCTTTTTAACACTCTTCTTGAGAAACCTATTCAAAATTAATATGATATCATAAAATTAATTAATATAATACTTGATTACGAAGAATTAACTAAACATTAATACAAGTGAATCCAAGTATAGCTGAGTAGATAAAGGGATTATCATCTATGTTATTGGTTTTTCATCAACCCAATGACATAATATTGCACTCGTTGAAGCCAAAACCTGCAGAACAAGAAATTTTCATCCAGATAGAAGCAAAATTCTACATTCTAACCTCATATATATATAGAAGGGCAAAATAGAGACCATTTTAATCTCTTAATAATATTTGTTGGCCGTTGAAATTCAGTGTGGCCAGCCGGTGATGTGGTAGCATACTTCTGTGTGTAACTTGCAAGACCAAACTCAACACCAATGCGAGCCCAAAGGAGAGCAAAAGAGTATGTTGCATGATATTGCCTACTTTTGAGAATGATTGGACTCCTTTTATAAGGGAGTGATTTGGGAGAACGTGCTCCGTAAAATCCAGGTGGTATCCTCGAGTTAGCCTCTTCAAAAGATACTCTAACACGCAAGGTCGTGCTCCCGCTCAATGTTCAGTAGATATTCCATCGGGTGAACTCTGCCCATTAAAAGTAGTCAAGCTAGACTGCTCAATTTTGGGGCACGCGGACTTTTCCTTTGTGGCCTGTCGAATTCAGACTGCACCCGGAGATTTGTCCATGTGTTAACATAGAGATTCTTTCTTGTTCTTCACTCTACCCGTGATTGAGACCATATATATCAACAAGTGATTCGCGAGCACGCCGAGCACCATGTGGAAAACACATCCACAAATAAATCCATATGCAGAGGCAAAGAAAATGTTGTTAAATTCTAAAGAGAAAGATAGGGAATATAGTGCTACCTTTTGACTGTAGTGTGTGAGTGCACACCATTTATATGGAAATGGAAGTAACTTTTTCCCTATTGCTTTGAATGGCCAACATCAAGTCCTACATATATGCTCCTTTTCTCTCACCATTTCTTCTCTTTCTTTCATCACACACTGTCAAGAGAGGGAAAAAAAAAGGTTATTTTTAGATGGTGTTGGGTAATATGTGGCATCTAGAGATGTGTCCATCATATTGTATGTGTGATCATGGTGGCCTTTTGCTTTGTGCTTTCTTACCAAAATATATCACTCCCACACCAAGGAGGGCTTCTTTTCTAAGGGTCTTTCAAAATGCCCCCTCTACATCATTTGATTTGAGTACTCCTTTGAAAAATTTTAGGTAGTAGGTATGGTACTAGTACTATTTATTGTGAATCGTTACATTTCAGAGGATTAGAACATCTAGTTATGAATTATGGTGTCGAGGTTTCGAATCTCTCCTCTCCTTCAATTGGTCAAAAAGGGAAGGAATAATGTTTCTTCTGGAGGTAGGAAAATCATGATTTAAGTAGTGGACCTAAAGTTATGAAACTTGTGCGTGTTCAGTATTTTCTCGAATCGAATACTTTTCATTTTTCATTAATGGGTAAGGGTAGAGTTACGGTATACCCAATCTGAATCAATCAGTATATATTTTTTTTGTTTTAGGTCCCGCAGTCAAACTTGAGCAGAATATAGCGTTGTTTAAAAAAACCGTTTGGAATTAGAGCCGTCTTCAAAGAATTATTTATGAATGAAGAAGATTATAATAGTGGAAAATCATGATTCGTACTCGGCTATCTTCCTATCATATCTTTCATTCATACAAAAAGAAAAGGGACACTTGCAAATATGGCAAAAAATTTTAGTAAAATAAGCAAAATAGCAATCACATTTAATTTTTTCATTTTCAGAAAAAACGGAGGTTCAATTATAAAATTACAAATTCATCCTTTAATATATCTGTAATATATCTGACCACTGATATATATCTCTGATATACCACTGATATAATAATGATATACAATTGATTTACTTCTAGTATGACCATGATATCTACTCAACTTCTAACATGTCTTACCATTGATATACGTATGATAACCATTGATTTACCACACATATATATTTGATATGTCTCTAATTTACTGTTGATATATAAATGATATATCACTGTTATAACTATGGTATCTACCAATATAACTTCTTATATGATTATATGATTTATCACTAATATAACACTGATATATATTTGATATATACTTAATATACAGAATTTACCACTTATATGCCTCTGATATAACCATTATATCTACTAATATAATTATGATATATGTGATATCATACTATTATATCTAATATATTTTTCAGATGAAAACAATGGTGCAAAATTTTTTATTTTTTATTTTTGAAATATAAATTTATTATATAAAAGGTTTATGTGGACCATGCACGTCCAAAAAGACAAGTTAAAATTTTGATATACTTTATAAATTTAAACAATTAGATATCTCTTATATTTAGTATCTAATTAATATTAATATTGAATGAATATTAGTGATACAGTAATCAACATTATTGATAATATTAGTATATTAATCAACAAATTGAAATGATAAACTAGAATTTAAACAACTGATATACTACTAAAACTTAAACATTTGATTAGTTGCAAATATATTTAGTATATCATAAATTAGAAGTACATCAGATATATATATTATATGTATAATACGTACATTTGATGTATATCAGTGGTATATCTGATAATGTATATCATGGTACATCTGATACTGTATATTAGGGATACATCGAATGTATGTCGGAAGTATATCAAAGTTACATCGAATGTATCTAATTGGATGTATATCATATACAAATTTACATCAGATATATATCAGATATAGATTTTATGTATGATATATATCAGATATATATCAGATATAGATTTTATGTATGATATATATCAGATGTATATCAGATATAAATTAGATGTATATCAGATATAGATATACATCATATATATATCAGATATCATAAGGGTAAAACTGGAATAATAAAAATTGCAAAAATAAAAATTCAAATATTTTGCTATATTTGAAATTTTGAAAAGTTTGTGATATTTTTTGAAATACATAAAATGTTTTTACTACCCACTACAATTACCCAAAAGAAAAAAATCCTTGACACGTAACTTAGCCTATATTATTGAATTGTCATTATTCTTTCATTTCTAGCATTCTAAAAAAATTTTTAACATTGCATTAATTTTTGAAGAAAATATACTCTTTTGGTCCCTAAGATTTGAAATAGGTATTTATTTGGTCCTTAAAATGGACGCTTTTGATATTTGAAGTTTGAGAAATGGTTTTAAATAGTTCTGGAAGAACTTTGAGCGTTAGTTGATTAATTAATGTTAAATTGTTGATTCTATTATATTAATTTGACAAATTTATCAATTTAATAAATTTTTTTAATGACTGGACTTTTTTTTTCAAATAATCTATTCAATTTCCTTTCACCTGTTACGACAATCATATGATGTCCCCATAAATTTGGAATGTCAAGATTTAAATATGCAATACATGAGAAACACTCTACAAGGAGGAGATCAAACTCCAAATGCCTACATTGCTGACCTGAAGTTGTTACTAATCCAAGCTGGTTAATTGATAGTGGAGCAACAAACCATGCAACAAATTTATTTAAATGATGTTACAAATCTTGGTTAGCAAACAGAATATAAGGGAATGAAAATCTCACCGTAGGTAATGGATCTAAACTAGCTATTACCCAAGTTGGATCTACTATTATTAAGTCAAAAAGAAACAATGGTATGTCTATCTTCTTGAACAACATACTTCATGTGCCTCAATTAAAAGAAATTTACTAAGCATATCTCAATTGACTGCTGATAACCGAGCTGTTGTTGAATTTAACTCTTATTGTTGCTATGTTAAGGACAAGGAAACAAAAAGAATAATGCTGGAAAAGGGAGGCTTATACCAACTAGACCTTCCAAAACCCAAAAGATGAGAGTCTATCAAAAATAAAAGAGCAATGCAATCTACTCACCATGTTGCTCAAGTCAATTCTCAGTGTCAGTCTTTTAGTTCCCAAGTTCACGTAGTCCAAAAATCTCCAAGCACTTTATGGCACCAGAGATTAGAACATGTATTAAAAAGAGTCTTGAGTCTTGTTTTACGTTCTTGGAATGTTAAATTTCAACTAATGAAAGTTTTAGACTTCTGTGAGATGCTTGTCAATATGGAAAATCTCACTCTCTTCCTTTTGACAAATCCACTTTTAAGACTCAAGCACCACTTGAACTCATACATTGCGACCTTTGGAGAACGTCTCTAAATCCTTCAACTTCCGGTTACAAATACTATGCGAGTTTTGTTGACAACCACACATGTCTAACTTCCATTTTTCCTCTAAAAAACAAATCAGAAACTTTGTCAACTTTTATTCAATATCAAACTCTCATGGAAAATAAGTTTGAAAGGAAAATAAAAATTGTACAAGCTGATTGGGGAGGCGAATTTAGAGTGTTTTCTCCATATCTAAAAGAAAAAGGGATAAAATTTAGACACCCTTGTCCCCACACTGGTGAACAAAATGACATAATTGAGAGAAAGCATCGCCACATCGTGGAGATGGATTTAACTTTGTTAGCCCAAGCTTCAATGCCTCTTAGATATTTGGTAGATGATTTCTTTATAGCTGTGTACATCATAAATCGAACACATACACTCGTTCTTAACAATCTCTCTCTTTGGGAAAAAGCATATCACCAAAAACCCAATTATAATTTCCTTAAAGTGTTTGGTTCAGCTTGTTTTCCTTGTCTAAGGCCCTATCAATCTCACAAATTTTAATTCCACTCCACAAAAATGTGTTTACTTTTTTGGGTATAGTGAGTCTCACAAATTTACAAATGCTTAAGTTCAAGTGGGAGAGTCTACATATCTCGAAATGTCGTGTTTAATGAGGGTAAGTTTCCTTTTAAATTTAGTTTCTTAACAACTAGTCCTGCCAACCAAACATCTCATAAAACTATCATTACATGGATAAACCCCACCTCTCACCAACATCAGTTTTCATCTCAAAGCAACCCTCCAAATCTTCTAAATAGCTACCCACCATCCCAAATTCACCCGGTATATATACAAGTCAATGTTTGGACAACCAACCAGTTTTGTTCTCTCCTAACAACAACAATGAAAATTCAATAAGTGACCAGTCTCCAACATCACCATCAAGTGTGTTGAATCAAAGTGTGTTGTTCAACAATAATGAAAATCAAAGGCAGCCCGTTGATGACCCAACACCAGAAGCCACTGATATGGAAAATATTGATATTGGTCCAATCATTTCTACTCCTGCTATCCAGAGAACAAGTGTAAGTTTGGCTACCTCACACCCAACGCAAACTCACTCTAACTGTAGAATCTAATGCAATATCTCGAAGTTCGAAAAAGCAACCTGCAGTTTTGTCTAGTTTTGTCTTCCGCTGAAGCAGAATATACAGCCGCAACTGAAGCCGCTTGTGAAGCCATTTGGCTAAGGAGAATCCTCAAAGATATTCAAATGGAGCAGGTGATGCGACAAAAATCTTCTGCGATAATATGTCAGCAATTGCAATGACCAAAAATCGTGTCTTTCATATGCTCGGTCCAAACATATTGAGCTACGTCATCACTATATCAGAGATTTAGTAAACAAAGAAAAAATATTTTTGGAGTTCATCAACACCAATGATCAACTTGCATATATGTTCACCAAAGCTGTTACGACTAAAAAGTTCGAGAATTTCAAGAAGTTTTTAAAAATTACAAATTAATAGGGGTGTTGAAAAATAGTAATTTGTAATTTTCAAACATGCTTGAAGCTTGTAGAGTTATCCAGACAAAATAATTATCTATATATTTATCTAGAAGTTTGTAAATAAATATGTAAATGAAATACTCTAGAATCATATCGTTTTTTTCTTAGGTTCCAAGACATTCTAGGATAAGGAGTTCTCTCAAACACCTATAAGTAGAGTTGTTATCCACTTGTATGTAATCAAGAAAAACCAAAAGTGGAATGAAGAGAAATGCCAAAGCACAATATTATAAGTTTCTCTCCATACTTGTCTCTTCGTTCTAAATCTTTCTCCTACTTAAGAAGTCTTTGGAATTTCTGAGGGAGTTTTTTTTTTAGTACGTGGCAGAGGGAGTGATTCAAACTCACGACCTTCTGACTTTATATAAGTGCCTTAACCCGTTAACCCGTTGAGCTATGACAAATTTCTAAGGGGGTTAGAGAGAGGGAAAAAGTGTGTTCTCCCTTTCATGAATGTTTGATGTATCAATATTCATGAGGTTTCATTTCAAAACCAATTGGCAATGAGAGGAACTTGTAAGATCCATTTTCTTTTCAATGTGGGATACTTAACATGTCCGCTTAAGATCGTGGCTCTTTCTGACTCATTGATTTTGGTCGAATCTCATTTATGGTCCAGTTGTTCATTTGAGCGTTTTGGGCTTTGATACCGTATCAACATTGATGGGGTTCCATCTCAAAATCAATTGGCAATTAGAGGAGTAGCTCATGTCTATTATAAACTATTATAAGATCTCTTTTCCTTTTAATGTAGGATCCTTGACACAGGATGAAGATACGGTGATTTCTAATTTCTTGTAAGGCTTCTTTTTGTTGTTTCTGACATTTTATCCTTTTTTTATTATACTCTTTCTCTTCGTAATAACACTATCTAGTAAAGGTTAAATCTCTGCAAACCAAAGTATATATAACTACTACAAATTTTTGTAAATTTGCTGAGTGTAAGTGAATCTTTAACGGCATCAAAAGTTAAGTAGTATATATATCAACGTAGGTTTGCCATTATGAACTTAGCTCGGCGATAATTGTCACACTTTTCTGATCAAAAGGTCATGAGTTCGAATTCTCCACCCTCAGTTATTTGTTCTTAAAAACAAACATACATTTGTGTTTTTAGAGCGCGACTCATTTGGGACGGTAAATATATATGTGTCTTATTTACTGATTCATGCTCTCCAAAAATAGCCTAATTTAGTACACCTCTTATAAAAATTTATTGAAACTAAAGAGTAATATTAATACCCATTACTCTAAAATAAGAAAAGTCCAAAAATTAAAACATAAACAAATTATATATTAACATATACATACAAAATAAAGTTTGAAAATTTGCACTGATTTTGGGTTGATTTCTCTACTATTATTAATTTATTACTCAGCTTAATTTCATCAATGTAATCCTCCCAAGCCAAGCTTGGTAAATTTCATATATAGCTAACCAATTGGAAGAGAGAGAGGATTTAGCTCAAGCCATGACTTCCCCACCATAGCAAGGCCTGTAATACACTTCTGTAACATTCATGTCCACCATTTGTACATCACAACACTCTGCTCCTCCTGCCTGTTAAACAAGAACAACAATAACAAGAAGAGAGAGAGTTAAATCACTATTAGATATAAAAGCTTTCAGTTGGGATTGGTTACGTTTTTATTCATATTCTTAACTCCATCTCAAAAACCAATTAGAAATCAGAGGAATAATTCTTGTAGGTCTTTTGATTTTTGTGGGATCTTTAATAGTCAATGGGCTTGGAAGTACACGACCCCCGACAAATGGTAATATTATATTATTATCACTAGATTCAGAAGGTGTTAAAGCATCGGTATAACCTACCTCCACTAGATAATTGGTAACGTTATATTATCACTAGACCTAAAAGCTGTTAAGACATCAATAATACTTGTTACGGCATCCACCTCCACACCTCGACAATTAGTAATGTTATATTATTACCATACCGAAAAACTTAAACTAATCGGTTACCATGTATTCAATCTTGTTAACATAGAGGGGGAGAGAGAGCACACACCTCCAAAGGGAGCTCAGCAGAGGAAAAGACCCTAATCTTGGAGATGGGCTCAGCAGAATGGTTCCCAGAAGCAGCACAAGAGGGAAGATTACGAGCCCACTTCCTGACATAAGTAGTGACCACCCTCTCCTCCCCATCTCTCTCAATGGACTCAAAGAACAGCGCATGGGGAGCCTCGCAAGGGTTGCTAAGGACCCCCCATCTGGTATTGAACATGAAAATAGGAGCCCTGGCTCGCTCAAACGGCGCGAACGTCTCCAATGGCCTCTTCAGATAGTTCCTGGACATGATGGCCTCGTAGATGTGGGCGGAGTAGCCCCACGACATAGAGAAGGTCCAGTTCAAGGGGCGGTGGTAACAGATGGTCTGCTGCAGCAGTCGGGACTGGTCGACCGCCCCCGCCGCCATCAGGTGGTTGATGGCAGCAGGGCGGTCCATGTTGGGGAAGATGGGGTTGATAAGGTCGATGTGGTGGAGGGAGAGGAGAGGTGTTTGGGGATGGTATGACAGGTACCCTGATGCATCTCCTCGGAGGTCGATCTGATAAACGAAGTACATGATCATGGCAATTAGTAGAAGGATAGATGATGACAATGATAATAGAGTATGCAAAAATAGTAATGTAAACTGATCAAATTAATGTCGTTTTGATTGAATTCAAGAGCGGAGTGAAGAAGGAAAGAAAGAGAGGTTGTAGTTATGCTCAGAGTTGAACATTCAAATCTTCTAGTTGAAGTAAAAGAAAAAAAAAAGATTGATTTTTTTGATAAAGAAAGTAGAGATATCTTAAGATTTCTTTATATAGTTTCTTTTTTTTCTAGTTTTATTGAGAAACTTAACTAGCAACTATTTGTGTTTCATGTTTCTCATCTTTTAAAAACATTCTTGAAATTGTATAGAAATTTTGGAAAAAAAAATAAATTTCTTATTTGTTGTTCCCATTTCCAATGAAGAAAAAAATAAAGAACAATAAATAGTTATCAAATGTAATTATATTTTTCTTTATAAAAAATATGAAATGTCATCAAAAATTAGGAATTAAAATAGAACATTTTCAAGTTTTATAGATCAAAAACTAAATAAGCCTAAAAGATATATCAGGGATCAAGATAAAATTTAATATGCAAGCTATTAGAATCTCCATGTACACCTTTATGATTGTGAGGATTTGGTCTCTTTGATCTTAAAAGCTTTAATTTTTCTTTATAAATCTCAATGGTCCCTAGTTATCATCTTAGAAGATGAGTGTGTATTGCAACAAAAACATGATCGGTGATATTGACTTTTCTATTTTTTAATATAATATATAAGAGTGGAGATTTAAATTCACAATCTCTTGACTGTTTATCTTAACCAATTGAAAATAGTTCAGATTAGCAGATGATATTGATTTAAATGATAGGTTCATCTATTTTGTCAACTTAATTATAAATTAAACATATATGTTGGTTAAAGTGTCTCCTCACTTATAATATATTGAGGCATCATTTTAAAAAAAAGAGTGATGTGACCAATGCATCTTTTTAATACTTATTAATAGAATGTCAACATATATACAATTAAATTAAAACTTTTATCTAAAACTATATTGAAACGAAATTGACACAAATATAAAAAAAATATAGGAATTAAAAATATAATCCAACCTATTCTAAACAAGATCGTGATCTTAAAAGCCATTGAAAGTTGAAAGATATATGTAACTTTCAATAATAACATAAAAATTCAATATGATTTTTGAGAAAGGTGAAAATGCGGCTATAATGATTAAACACATGAAATTAAAAACGAAATAGTTATGAAACGAGGTCTTTACCTGATGAAAGCCCTTCTCGTGGGTAATAGAGAATCCCAAATCAGACAAACATTGGAACAACATTTGATCACTAACCCTCAAGTAAGGATATCTCTCAATGCAACCATCCAACCTTTTTGCCACCATTGCTGCAAGAGGGTAGCTCAAAGCATAACCAGCTCCTCCAAAAGCCATATCAAAGGAGAAATCAAAGTTAGACTTCACACACTCTGAGTTCATCCCTATGTACCAATGCTTTCTATGATCATACTTTGCCAAAGTCTTCACCAAGTTATCCACAAATAAAACGGTATCGTCGTCCGCCATTACAAACCACCTCACATCTTTATCGCCTTCTCGAAACGACTCCATCACCCTTCGAAATATTCTCACCTATGTTAAGATTATAAGTAAACGATTAAAAATATACTATAAAAACAAATGTTCTTTCATGTCTGATAATTCATATTGATAATTGTTAAGGATCCCACGTTGAGAAGATAAGGGTCCTTACAAAGGTTTATAATAGACATTGACTAATTTTCTCATAACCAAATGGTATGGAATCTCATGAATAATATTGATATAATATTAAAGAAAGTTCAAACGAGCATCCGGTCTAAAAATGAGATCATGTCAAGAATGATCCAAAAGAGTCACGATTTTGAGAGAACATGTTAAATATCCCACTTTGAAAAAATAAGGCCCTTACAAAAGGTTTATAATAGACTTAGACTACGAGAATATGCTTTAAGCTTTTGAGTTCAACCTGATCCGGCCATTTGATCTTAGGATATACTGCAAAGCCCGTGATGTCTTCGTTGACTCGAAATGGAGGGGACGAGTCCGACCATGGTAGGAACTCGGTGGAGGGCGGCCGTTCGAAGAAGACATGGCCGCGGGTTACGTTGGGTCGCCACCATGATTCACTGTAATGTCTTTTGAACTTCCATGTGTTCATCGAGCCGACGATGCTGAACACGATGTGGGAGATGTTGGTCGGAGGATCGGCAGTGGTCGGCGGTGCTGGGGTTTTGATCGGCCATTTTTGTTTGAGGCTTGTAAGAAGATCGGAGGGTTGGTAGTTAGGAGATGAAAACACGAAAACATAGAGCATGAACAATGCCAACCCTGAAAATGCCAAAACTTTGCAGACATTTCCAATGTCTAGTGAACAAAGCTTGCTCTTAAACTTGGCTATGGCGGAGTTGATGGGGTGTGGAGAAGACATGTTGAAGAAGAACAAGAATTGTGATGAAAAGGGTATGAATTAATCTACATGGCAAGATGGAGAGAAGAAGCTCCACAAAATTCCATTAATGGAGGAAATATTCCTTCTATACTCTTTAAAGGGTGTTTTTGAAGAAGACTTTGGAAAGGAATCTGAGTTATAAGGCCAAGTTTCATGTTTAAGTTTGCAAATAAATGTGAAGATATGCCTAAAATGTAAGAAGAAAAATAGGAGTTTTTTGAATGCCATTTACGCAGCCTAAAGTCAATTTTGTAGGGAAAAAAGGAGCTGTTAGCACATTGTAATTCTTTTAGTTATTCTTTCAAGGTGTTTTCACATATATCATTTCATTTAAGCACTTCTTTTTTACCTTTTTTAGTAATCATTTTAAAGTTACTTTTTACATAATCATCTCTCAATTGTTTCTTTTAAATTGATTTTTTAAAGTAACTCTTTTAAAAATATTTATCTATTTATTACCAAATGTTGTAGATTTTTTAAAGATTAAGTTTAGTTATATATCTAAAATAACTTAGCAAACAATATCAAATACACTCTTATTAAATTAGTAATCCTTTTCGGAGTAGTTTTATTTCTATGTAAGTTTTTTTCAAAAAGTCATCCTAAACACACTATTATTCTATCTCTCTTTTATCTTTTTAATTTGGTTTGAATATTACATCGCAAAGAATTGTTTGACCAAAAATCGACGAAAATTTTTCGTGGGAGAAATCATTCCCGATGTTTTTTGGACTTTTCTCAATATTTTTTGGCAGAAAAAGTCTTTTTTCTTGTAGTGACATTTATTTTATTTATATGTTGGCCTAAATAATTTGTGCTTTAATCTTCTTTATTTTATTTTATAAATTATGCTTATATCCAAATATTAATACACCTAGTTCGTCATAACTTTGGAAAGTCTTTATAGAATTCACATATATATTTTTTTAATAATTTGGTACTTCCCATGGTATTTATTGGTGGTTTGATTGGTCAACTGAGGATGAACTCGTGTAGTGGGCATACGATTTCAATAAAATAGTACTATTTATGAAACTGTAAAATATTTTACCAACGGCCTTAAATTTCAAAGGCGTATAATCTTAGTACTCTCATTTATTGAGTATAGTTTTCTTTAGTAAAAATTGCATTGAAGAGCAACTTAATACTCTCAATAAATATAATTAATCGACGAAATAAAATGTGTGACAAACAAGCATTAATTTAAATACATGGTTTGAATTTTGGAGTGGTAGCCTAGATCCTTGCATAAATCTTAGACCTCACCATTTAAATAGTCAAAATTTTACTTCAAAAATAAGCTTTCTTCACGTTTCATAAGAATATTAAATCTCTGAAATTTGCATAATACAAAGTTCATAGACATGAAACTTCTGGTTTGAAGAGCCAAAGCCACCACCACTCTCTATGAAAGTCAAAACGTTTACATCTTCCAATAAATCAAGTGGCTACAAAATTAATTCCATCAAATTTCCCTTCAAGTGCACGTTATATTAGATATATATATATGTATACATATATGGGTGAATATTACGATTTTGTCTCTAAAGATTCGTTTGATTCGTTTGGTAATATTTCCATTTCTTATTTTTGGCTTCTCATTTCTCGTTTCTAATTTTCTTTTAGAAATATAAGTGTTTGGTAACTATTTTTATTCTTGGTTTCTTAGAAATCTAAAATTGTGCACAAATTTTGAAAATGGCAAAATCAAGTTTCTGATTTCTTATTTTTAGTTTTTTTTTTTCAAAACATAATTAAAAGTATTATATTTCTTATTGGTTAAATTTAAGGTGACATGCATCTAAGCTCCAATCGAGTCACGTAGACAACACCTGCATGATAAAAGATGAAAAAGGGTCGAATGCACTGGGTGGTTAGTACAAGAGAGCTTGCAAGATAAGCGCTGACACACCTCGCACCCAAATTGTGATACGGACCAAAGGATCGCCCAAGCCGCTCTTACGCCCCCCCCCCCCATGGGGCACAGAGGGAAGGAGAATGTCGAGGTCCCCACGACCACTTGGCATGTGGTCCTCCACTCCCTGTGTATCTCTCTCTTCCTATCCAAAAACTTCATAGAAACCATAATCTAGTTTCGCTTAAATTCCTACCCCAGATCTTTAGGAAATTTCAACACACACCCTCAAACAGACTCTCACTGAGATTCCTACATCTTTATTCTACTGGCTCTCATCTTAAGTTGTAACTTAGGTATTGGAGTACATTTAGCAAAGCACTACATCAATACAAGGTTTCGGTGTGCAGGTAAACTCTGAGTTTAGAGACAAAGACGTACGTGGCACTCCGTGGCACCAGCCCGAAAAACATCATCAACAATATTATTTTGTCATTTTTTTATTTATAAAATACATAATAAATATAACATTAACATTTGGACATTTAATTTCAATTTTTTATTTTCATATAAAATAATTTTTTTTAATTTAAAATTTCAAAGAACAACTAAAAATATTATAAAACTTGTTTCTATATCTTGTTGCTATCTAAAGTGGACTCGTAAATATTTCAAAAAATAAAAAGGCAAATATGCTAACAACTAGCCTCCACATTAAATAAAAAGAATATTTATTTTTAATTATCATAGTATTGTTCTCCTACATGGTAAGGACTTTTATTGAAAAAGCTTAGTACATAAACGATAAAATTGAAACCTTTTTTAAAAAAATGAGAGAGAGAATTAAAATTTACATACATTAGGACTAAACTAAAACATGTAACACTCAACTAGAATGAACCGATACCACATCCGAATGAGAAGGATCCTGAGACCATAAAAAATATGGTTAAGAAAACTTAAAAGAAATGATAGTTACTACCTATACTAACAAGGTGTACCTTCCTTTTCGGTAACTCAATCATAAGAACTCTAAACTTAAGCGTGCTTGACCTGGAGTAATCTTCGGCTGGGTGACCTCAATCCTTATCCGAGCGTTACATTATATATATATATATATAATAATACAACATCTGAACTTACCATGGTTAGAGATATGCTGTGCTTACTTGGGTTGTTTGTAGGGACCGTTGCAACATTGAATTTCAGTTACAAGCTGTAAAAGTAACTAATTTCCATGAATCAAGGGACGGGATGTGGGTGGGGTAAAAACGAAAATGGACTATTTCTATAATTTTCGTAAATAAATGTTGGCATCGAGAATTATAAAACTTATTACTATTTCTCAATATTTTATACGTCTCCATTACTCAGGATTTCCCAAAGAAAATCCAAGCATGTAAGAAACAATATCAATCCCATCTCTATCAACAATTAAATAAGGAATGGTGAATGGTTTCATATATCATTCCAATGCAATAATACAAAACATGGTACTTTGACCCTTCCCTATTACGTTATCAATTTTCCTTATAGAAAATGGAGCTGTAGATCTCAAGAAAAATGGCTATGGCAACTCCTTCAAATGGGGGTCTTGGGAGATGGTGCATAGTTAAATGTGTTTGTTTTCTTAATCTTCTCTAGGCCAAATGGACCATTTTTGTTCCTCAAATAATTGAAGTTTGTTTGAACAAGAACTGTTCTCGAAACAATACATTTATTATTTTGTTTTCGCTTTCAGAATAGTGTTGGATACATCGATTAAGTGTTTATCTCGCGCTCACCCTCGAGTCTATGCTTTAATGTAAATTGAACTTCGTGACTTGAATGGTTAGAAATTTTAATAATGCGGAGTCACACATATAATTATTTAATGTATTGTGATATTAAATTTTAATGAGTAAAAAAAATTACCATGAAAATCAAAGCGAGCATAGCTCAATAATTGACATATATCTTCAATCAAGAGGATGTGAGTTCGATCCTCCCACCCCCATATATATATTACCATGGAAAATATGTGTAGATATATTAGTCAGTGTCTAATTTAATGAGGGATCAAATAAAAAAAAATTGTAACTGGACGGTGGTTTTGTGGTTCTAATGGAGAAGTTATGGTCCTAGCGTCACATAATTTCATCCCATCAAAGAAAATTTTACGGATTCGTTTGGTAACGTTCTCATTTCTTATTTTCACGTTTTACAATTTTATTAAGAAATTTAAGCATTTCTCAACTATTTATATTTTTTGTTTCTCATTTTTTTTTTAGAAACATTCTTAAAATTATACAGAAATTTTGGAAAAAATATTTATTTATTTCTTGTTCCCATTTTTAATTTCTTTCCAAATATAAATAAATATATTGTTTTATCATTCATGAATTATCTATTTTTGTTTATTAAAAATAAGGAAATGAAAATAAGAAACAAAAACGATACCAATCTAGCCCTACACTCCGGCATTTTTATGGTTGATTCTCTTGAATTCCACATCACAAAAACGATTTGTTAAATCTCATTAAGAATATGTGTCATAATTTTTCATCGTGAATTTTGTGAAGATCAATATAGTTTGAAAAAATGAGAACAAACTTCATTTATTCCAAAAAAAAAAATAAGAAAAAAAGGTCACATTTGGTGGAAATATTCTAAACAAAATAAGATCAATATAGATCTCGATTTCTAATTCCAATTTCTTGTTTCAATTCTTCAAGAACGAAAAATGAAAAATGCATTTTTTTTCTTTCATTTTAATGGAAAAAAAAAAAGAAAAGAGAAATGACTTGAAATAGAAATGACTTTGGCAATCAGGAAAATGAAGACTTTACCTTCCAAGTAAATTTTTGAAAATAGACTTTTAAAAGTTACAAAGTAATTTCTAGTTTTGTGGATATTTTTATGCATTTCAAAATTAAAAATGATAAAACAATATTTTTATTAGTATTATGCAAGTTATTAGATTTTCATCGACATGTCAACATTTTTATATGTCCATGGATTAAACATCAATATGAGACGTACATCGACATTTTCATAGTATCGAAAAAAATTGACAAAATATAAAAAAATATCAATAAAATATCACTATTATAGACATAATATTAATATTAATCAATTTTAACTAACTCATTTTAAAATAATGAAATGCTTATTTGTTCTCGATTTTTTATTTTTATAAATTTTCCAAAAAAAAAAAGTTAAAATACTATTTTGGTTCTTATACATTCAGTCTTGGTTCATTTTAGTCCTTGTACTTTAAAAATGTTCATTTTAG